CTATGTCCTGAGACAGAGGTTTGATGAGCAGTGTACTGTGAAAATGGCTGTCTTGTAGGATGTTGAACTGAGTGATTTAGTAAATATTGACTGATATTTCAGAGGAGGTTACTGCTTTCATCACCAGGGCCAGAATTAACCAAACTTCCCAGAAAATCTTGAGATCCTTGGATCTCAACTACTGTATAATAATATCATTACATACCTCACTGTCTGGGATCCATTGTTGTTTCCTTCGTTAATTCTCACCACAGCTGATGCACAACTAAAGCTGCAAAGAAAACAAAAGCAATAACTTTGCCAAAATTTGTCTGCTGTTTGTCCCTCGTCAATGTCAGATATTGTTTAAATATGTGAACACTCCGGTTCATCCAAGAGACAGGCCAACCGGACAAGCTAAACATTTTCCTCAGCCTGTTTAATGTTAACTGCTTCTTTCCACATCCTTTTCAAAGCCAAGCCAACCAAAAATAAAATGCGAAATAGCATTTCTGATTGTCTGCATCAAAATATTTTGAATATCAATTGCACTTTGACCAAAATTGTTATGAGCTACTTTTGTTTTAAGAATGTCCCATATAAATTCTGTTGCATTTAGGTCAGTGATATCAGGACAACCATATGGTCGAATGGTTATATTCTTGGAAGATGGAATCAATAACATTTTGGTGTTGGACATTGCACTCAAAGAAGTTCAAGTAGTTAAGTTTTTGTGATTTAATAATTTATATCTTTCAAGACATTCCTGAATTGCTACTTTTTTCACTGCCCAAGTTGAAGGTTTATTCACTTGCAGTGGATTGATATGGAGTATTTTCTAACACTGTTAAGACAGTTTGATGGAATATTAGGAACCAGCATTTGTTCAAACCCACTTCAAAAAATGTTTGGTGGTGGTAATCACCACTATTTTTTAATAAAAAATTAGGCATGCTCCTGGAACAAACCCCTTCATGAAAGCAGCACATACAATTACCTCCTGCTGTCCTTTCGGAATAACATATTTTTTAAGTCTTCCAACATTATTTTCATTTTTGGCTAACAATATTTTTCAGAAATAAAGATACCCATTCAAAATTCAGGTAGTTAAAAGTAAAGAATGTGTACGAATAAAATGAAGCTATTTGCATCTTTCACCAGAAAGATTACTGTGAGGTAAATGTCTCAGAGGTATGAAATTTATTAATTTTCTTACATTTATGGTGTGATTTTAGGCTGAACGAGCAAAGAAGACATGGTGTCAAGGACAACCTGATGGAGATGCTGGCACAAGCAAGCAGCTGGGTGAAGCTGGTAATATGAATGAATCTGGAACAAATGAAAATGGAAACCAGGTTCATAAGGAAGGTGGCAAAGAACAGATATCTGAGGAGGAAGAACGGGAGAGGAGAACAATTTATGATGACGACCCATCTGTGTTTAATCCTGGAGAGAAGCTACGAGTAGGAATAATTCAGGCATCAGGTGATGGTAGCATTGCGTATGAATGTTGCTACTGCAGTGAAAGATATGGTGACACAGAGACTTTGAAGATGCATGTCCGGTCATGTCATCGCCCTGAAATTTTGACAATGCAGATTCCAGTAGAGTTGGGTTTTGGAAGCAAAGTAAATTGTGGTGCACAGCTTAGTAATGTTACAGCAACAACGGACCTTTCCAAGCCATTTGTTTGTATCTACTGTACTGGGGCATTTAAATTTAAAAGTAACATCAATTTACATTACAAAGAAAAACATACACCATACAAGCCATTTGCATGTATGGATTGTCACGAGACATTCCGGAGATCAATGGAATTGTCACGTCACAGAGTCTACTACTGTCCACTTGGCAAGAAAATTAAGAAGACAAAGAAAGAAAGACAGAAGGACAAGGATAAAGAAAGAGATGATGAAGATATGTAAACTTAATTATATGACTTTTTTTTACCAATTTCAGTATTTTACATTAAAATATTCTTGTTGTTGAGTGAAATTCTGAAGCCAGATAAACTGATGACTTGTGGTTTAATCCATATTACAAGGTGTGAATTAGATATACCTTCTAGATGCTTTTCTGTGCAGAATGGTCTGATTTTACTTTGACAGTAAGAGTTGGACTGAACAATAAACAGAGGCAATAGTGATATGGAAATGAAATGTTAAAACAGTATACTATGGAAAGTGTTGAATACTGACTTTTAAGTTGTGCCATCACCTTTATTAAATTAAATAGTAATGTGGGATGCACGTTTGCAATTAATCTTCCCATACCATCCGATTTTATTATTTATTTACAAGCCACATGTCCTATAATGTAATATTGTATTGACCTGAATGTAAGAATGTCTTATTTCAAGCTTATGTGTTTGGAATTTGTTGGCTCAATGTCCTCATGTTTTGATCTTGAAGAAAAAGTAATTTTAATTAAATGATTATGCCATAACATGTTTAAACTTACAATCAGGCCATTAATGATAATATTGATGTTAACAGGGGTGCAGTCTTAGTTGACTTACTGAGGCAACAAATCAAGATCAGCAGGATAACTTTAAAAGGTTCTAGTAGATCTATAAAGTTCTACATGCCAGCAAGCTACTAGCTAAGATTAAAATGTACTGTTGCTGATTATTTTCCCGGTGGAAGATGCTGTGAATATTCTCAAAACCTGATTTTTTTAAGAATTGGAGATTTGAGAATAGTCCTCTTTTGTAAAACTGAAAACATGGAGTGCATTGCTTTATGATGACAAGTTTCTATGGTTTTCAGTGGCGGTACTGAACCTGTGCTATGACAGACCTTCCATAACCTCAGGGACAACTGACAGTAAAGACTTAGGCTAATTTAGAATATATAATATCCTTTTCCGAAGATGGCTGTCTTCTGGATTGTGGCGCTGTGTACTCTGGTAGAGGTTTACCAATATTTCAGAGTTCCTTGCTGCCTCCATCATCAAGGTGATGTCTCATTGCTCCAATGATGGCACTACAACCCAGAAGACAGCTAGCCATCTTTGGACTTAGCGCTGTGAAAACCTAAAATCCTCCTCTTCCATCTGCACATCATCACTAAAACTGGTATCCATGCCAAATGTATGCTGATCTGCAGTACGCTGAAATCTAAATTTTGAAGACCTGGTCCCAGTTGACTTAGTATATACTGAAGTTAGAGAATGGTCTTTTGCTTTGTACTTTATATAGTTACAAATGGCTACTGTTCACCCAACTGCATCCCTGCATGTAAGGATAGAAATCTGTTAAAGTTTCTTTCAAACTATAAACTTTTATTTAGCTTGTAGATGTAGATAAATGATTGTCAGAAATGCTTACATTCTTTGGGTAGTTGGGATGATCAGTGTTTCTTTCAATGTTTAAGATGCACTCTGTATTTTTAAGGGAAAAAATATATGCATGGTCACAACTTAATCAAAAAGTATGTTTTACTTTCATTTTACAAATAAAAAAAAACCAAGCACATATTTACAGTTCTAGTTTCATACAAGAATGTTACACAATCTACTTTACAACACATTTGGGAAATGTGTGAAGGGTGGTGATTCAAGTAATTTGCCACCTGAAGTCCAATAAAATACTTATTTAGCAGGAATACTATGACAATTACACCTTCCACAACTATGTTACACCACCAACCTTAGTCATACAAACTCACATGAAATATGAAAAATATTTGAAACAAAAATATGATTAGGAAACATCTTACATGAATCTAATACTATGTTAGTACAAAGGGGACAGTTTTGGAAGGAAATGTTCTCACTGAATGAACTATAATATAATTCACAATTCTTTCCCTTCCTTACTGGGGTGAGGGGGGGGGGGAAGAGGAGTGCTGTCTATATTGCTTTATGCACAACTTATTTCTTCAGATCACAGACAATCTTGTCCTGTGACACATTTTATTTACACATGATGAGTGTAAATTAGTTTACCCTGCACTGCTTGAAACCCAATTTAAGGAAGGAATGAAGAACATCATCTTCAGATGTTATTCACACTGAAGGTTGGAGGGAATCATGTAATACAAAGCAGTCCTCTGCTGTCAGTAACAGAACCAAATGTGCATATATTCTCTGTGCACAGAACATGATGGACTAGATACTGGTGACAGAGGGTATTCACTTATAAAAGGACTGCTCTGTAAAAGTGGATCAGTAAGGAAATACTTTACCTGTGTCGCAAGTTTTAAAACCCAAAGCACTTCAGAAAAACAAACTATTCCATCTCCTCAGCAGATGGAGTGACACAATCTGCTGTTGCTTTAAGGCTGACCCTAGCTGTCTTAAGGATGTGGTGCGTCTTATGCAACTGTCTGCAAATTGCTCGTTCCACCTGCTTCTTTCTTTGGTTTGCAGTTGTAAGTTGAGCCATAGTTTCTTCAAGAGCTCGATGTGTTTTTGTCAAGCGCTGCTTCAACACAATGTTCTCTTGCTCCAGTTCTTTGTAAGTCTTGACAGCTGTATCACATCCTGTAACACACAAGTATTTTATATAAGTTTTAACCTATAATTTCACATCCACAGGTACATTAATATTCATAATAATAACCTGAAATATATTAATGACTTTTATGTTATTTCTCAGCACACACATATGTCAAAGAAATGACCTCCAATGACCTGAGTTTTCAAAAATTCACTAAGACTGTTTGGGACACAGAAGGGAAGCATGAAGGCTGTTTCATCTGCTTAAGAACAGGTACTAATAGTCAGAAATCATCTGTATAACAATAAAAATGAATGAGGGATCGGTAATTAATAACCTTAGTACTGTGACTATCTTTGATCTGTTGTGCATCTCATCTTGTGTTTATCCCCTCTAGCAGTCTTGCACTTCAAATGAAGTGTAATGTTTTGCTTAGTGGGGCCTTCTGGTAATAACATGGTTCCATAAAGTGAACCCAGATGATGAAGTCAGTCACATTATACATGTGAAGCTATTTTTTCTTTGTGAGATTTGAAGTTCTCACAGCAAAAGTGTGGCTGTCTTCTGGGTTGCTGAGCTATGTAGTCTTGTAGGAGTTTATCAACTCCTGTGACACATTTTATTTACACATGATGAGTGTAAATTAGTTTACCCTGCACTGCTTGAAACCCAATTTAAGGAAGGAATGAAGAACATCATCTTCAGATGTTATTCACACTGAAGGTTGGAGGGAATCATGTAATACAAAGCAGTCCTCTGCTGTCAGTAACAGAACCAAATGTGCATATATTCTCTGTGCACAGAACATGATGGACTAGATACTGGTGACAGAGGGTATTCACTTATAAAAGGACTGCTCTGTAAAAGTGGATCAGTAAGGAAATACTTTACCTGTGTCGCAAGTTTTAAAACCCAAAGCACTTCAGAAAAACAAACTATTCCATCTCCTCAGCAGATGGAGTGACACAATCTGCTGTTGCTTTAAGGCTGACCCTAGCTGTCTTAAGGATGTGGTGCGTCTTATGCAACTGTCTGCAAATTGCTCGTTCCACCTGCTTCTTTCTTTGGTTTGCAGTTGTAAGTTGAGCCATAGTTTCTTCAAGAGCTCGATGTGTTTTTGTCAAGCGCTGCTTCAACACAATGTTCTCTTGCTCCAGTTCTTTGTAAGTCTTGACAGCTGTATCACATCCTGTAACACACAAGTATTTTATATAAGTTTTAACCTATAATTTCACATCCACAGGTACATTAATATTCATAATAATAACCTGAAATATATTAATGACTTTTATGTTATTTCTCAGCACACACATATGTCAAAGAAATGACCTCCAATGACCTGAGTTTTCAAAAATTCACTAAGACTGTTTGGGACACAGAAGGGAAGCATGAAGGCTGTTTCATCTGCTTAAGAACAGGTACTAATAGTCAGAAATCATCTGTATAACAATAAAAATGAATGAGGGATCGGTAATTAATAACCTTAGTACTGTGACTATCTTTGATCTGTTGTGCATCTCATCTTGTGTTTATCCCCTCTAGCAGTCTTGCACTTCAAATGAAGTGTAATGTTTTGCTTAGTGGGGCCTTCTGGTAATAACATGGTTCCATAAAGTGAACCCAGATGATGAAGTCAGTCACATTATACATGTGAAGCTATTTTTTCTTTGTGAGATTTGAAGTTCTCACAGCAAAAGTGTGGCTGTCTTCTGGGTTGCTGAGCTATGTAGTCTTGTAGGAGTTTATCAACATTTCAGAGGTTGTTACTGCCTCCATCATCATCCTGATGAACAGTGACTCTGTTTTATATTTTATGCCTGATGTTATTAAGCAGAATATTCACTGTGCTTAGTAAAGGAGCAGGAAACTTGGTTAGGCTTTTACAACAGTTGCTATCTTCTTCTATGGCTCTCCAGTCCGTATTCGGTCCATGGCCTCCTAAATTCTCCTCTTCCATTCGGCCCTCTGTTAGGTCCGTCTGTCCGAGGCTTTGATTGAGGTTTTGAAACATCTTCCTATTTACGGTGCAAGGTTGTTAGCCTTGTGACCAACCCCCAACCTGGAGGACCAGGGTACCTGTCTTAGTCTGACCTCTCCCCCTCGACCAATCTGGCTAGGGAGGCCCTACCAGTAGCTATGCTACCGCCAGCATAGCTCTTGGGGTCACTGAGGTACTCAAGCCGCACCACCACGACAAGGTGCAGGTACCATTAAGTTGTTATAGTGCCCCTAATTTCCATCTTCCCATAAGGCACTGGCTTTGCCAACTGCACTGTTTTCCAAAAACATAACCCACACACTGGCAAGGGACCGCTGTACATAAAACTTAATTCTTTCTGAAATTTTACAGTGAGGCTTTCTGAGATAACTGTCTGGTTATAGGGGACAATTATGAACTTGGTACCATGTGGTCACAATGCAATGCATAACCAAAACTTGAGCAGAGTGGAGATATACCACAAAATATAATTAAAAAAAGAGAGATTGTGAGGTACAAGCCTCTGAGCTGTGTTAAAATGGAAGAATGAAACTTCACATCATGCAAGCAAAGTTACCACTGCAGACATCAAATTAGTATTACTCACTAGAATTGATTGAAACAGCTGTGAGATTAGGGTTCAAATTACAGCCATATCCTTCCATAGTGCTGACCACTTTGGATGTATCAATTTGCACTCCACTTGAAGCTGCTTCCAGGCTAGAAAAACGGCCCTGGTCACTCTCAATACCGAGGTCTGGAGATGAGTTGATGTTGCGCATTGAAGAGGGATCAGCAGAGATACTGTTAGATGCTGCAGAATGTTGCTCAGTCAGTGATGTGAACCAGTAACTGCTACTACAAGTCTGTATACAACAATAAAGGTTCTTGTTTTAATGCTAATACAAATCTTTGACTCTGATCAGAAAGAGCAGCCATTTGTTGTTCACTGTTAGCTATCACCTCAACTTACTCTATCTTATGCACATTTTAACACATAACTAGATTCTTTCTGGCATCAACCCTTACAATTTGTCATTATTTATTTTACATATTCATACATAATGCAATATAGTATATGATAAAACATGATAGTGAACTACATAAAACTGTGGAAAATTAAAACATAACCTCATTCATTCCTAATGTATTATTAGTAGACAACCCACACAAATTGGTAATGTCTTTGGATAAATAAGAACAACATATTTAAGGTGTATGTAGGCAGCCTACAATGTAGCATCCCAACATAATGCTTCAAGGGACAGAAATATCATGGTTAACTTCAGGATGGATGGACCTGGACTGAGAAACAAACACAGGACCTAAAAAATATGAATATGTGCTAACCTCTCAAACAAGCCACCTAATGTTTAGACATGGTACAGATACTTTTACCTCCTATGAAGCATATACCTTCTCTCAGAAGATAGTTTTCATATTTAAATTTAGAATTTCATCATATATGTTGTTCTGAAGATGTGTGCGCACGCACACACACAATCTTGTTCTTCATCAGGGTAGGAACAAATCTGTTTAATGAATTATTCTTGGGCTACCAGCTGTGTAAAGTGGTTTAATGAAGAAAACAGCAATGTTTCAAGTTGTACAACTACAGTACCCTGAGGACAAGGAAGGTTCTTGAAATGGTGTTTTCTTCATTAAACCACCTTACACGGCTGGTAGCCCGAGAAGAATTCATTATATCCCACCTTCTGTGTTAATAAATGTATATATACTTCTAAGACCTATGATGTGAATATCATGCTGTATGAAGAAACAGTCAGCTCTAACCAGTATGCAATATGTCAATTATTTCACCTGTGTTAATACAGCTCCATATTCTTCAACAGCTTGATCCTCAGACTTATAGTCAGAGAGTTCACTATGCTGTCTGTGAAAACCATGCTGAAGTACCACGCTGGACAGAGCTGCAAGTCCTCCATTGCTACCATCATTACTTCCTCTTTTGCTTCTATCCCTATCATCATTCTGACTTCCACTGTATTCCAGGGACACAGTAGCTGTTGTACCCCATGGGCTGTTAGGGAGAGAACCTTCTCCTGTCAGCTGATCAAGGCCAGAAGAGAAACTGCCAAGAGAAGTTCTGCCAACCTTAATGTGAGGCATAGATGATGAAGAAAATGGGCCTAAAAAATTAATCCAGTATTACCATTTCATTTTACACCATCTTCATGAAAATAAATGAATAAAAAACCTTAATAATCAACTATGTAGAGCAGAATTGTTCTTGAGAAGCTAATAGCTGCTCAGTTATGAAATTCCCCACATTTTATGGAAGAATAAAGCTCCTTAATATGTTCACAAGAGTCTGCCACTGGATCCTATGCTGAGCCAGATGAATCCAGTCCACATCCTCATGCCCTGTTTGTTTATGAACACCAAGGCTTCAGCATTTAGATCCATTTGGTCCTCATACTGAACAGGGTAATCCAACTGGTTTGAGATTCCAATAAATCTTCTTCATTTCAATATATAATTCATACTTCTTTTGTCTACACCAGTAGTTCACAACAGGAATTTTACTATTTAGATCAAATATGCTTAATTCATTAATGTTCCTCAGAACTTCTTATTTCATGAACAATTATTACATAAATATACCTCCTGAAGGTGATGATGGTTCTTCTTTCATGCGTAGTCTACACAAATCTTCCTTAAGTTCCACATAAGCTGCTTCTAGCTCCTTCACATGTTTCTCTAGACCATCCTTTTGTTGCTGCAGTATCACCATCTGTGTTCCAGATGAAGAGAACAAAATTATTAAAATATATGAACTGAATAATGTGTTTCTTGAATATTAATAAAATTCTGTTTATATTACAGAATACAGTAAAATCTACATTTTATAACCAACTCTACAACAAATACCTCTAATGTTACAATAAAAGTTCTGAACCCTAGTGAGTCACAATATAGAACATCTAGGTTAAAACCTCAATATGAAGTACAAAAATTTGTCCTGAAGTTTCCTACACAGAGGTTCATATGCTATGTTTTGCATTTTTTGAGATACCTCATTTTCCACCTGCTCTTTAGCAACAAGAAGACAGTTTTCTGCATCCTTCCTTTCACGAATCAACTCAGCTTCTCGTGCCTCATGTCGACGGACCTCTTGCTCAAGGTGCAACTTTTCATTAGCAAGGCGAGTTCGTTCCAATTCTGCCTGCGACGTTGATAATGTGACTTCATCCAACTGTTTTATCAGCTCAAATTCTTTCTCTCGGAAGCGCCTTTCTAAGTCCTGCAGTCGTTTCATTAGCTCCATTTCTCGCTTCTGTTCATAAAGAAGAACACTATTTCATATGCAATATAAACAATATGGGATATAGCCATAAATCAACTGCATTTAATGCACTCAACATCAAGAAGGAATAGTTATTAAATTAATTAATGGAATATACTTTCTGGATATAAAATACTGGTCTATGTTGTTCAAAACTTTATACAGGTAGATTCTCAGTATAGTGAACACCATTAAAATTCATTTACTGCAAAGAAGGAAATGCCAATTTAGAGCTAAACTATACCATGTATACTACTATATATATCTAATGCAACTGAATTGTAATAAAATAAACATGTCCAATACTCTACACGATGAAATACTGCATTACAATAAAAATCACATGATAAATTTGCCCAGGTTTAAGAAACAATGATAATGGTGGATCTTTAATTTGCTTAATCATGAAGGGCTAATGTACAGTAATTACACTACTCAAGTGCTTTTGGCCTTCCATTTTTTGGTGATGCAACCATTTCCAAATCTAAAACACATAAGCCAAAACCCAATGTTCAATTTTTCTAAAGAAGAAATATAAGAGAAGGCATATTTGATATGTTCATTAACTTTTTTACTGTTGTACTTTCTTAATTTCATTGTGTTGTGTTTTATACCAGTACCACTGGGTTGTCACCATGAGGCATGTTTTGGAAATTTTTCAGTGCCATGACATAATTGTGAAAGAGTTTTATGTGATTGAGAGATGGAGTAGAGGCAAAACAGCATTGTCTATTAATGCTTGCACTGATACAAAAGGTTCATAAACTCTAAATGGTTCTGACAACGGTGTGTTACAGTTACTACTATAGAATTTCGCCCACTGCCCGGCATATAAATAAAGAATAAAATATATAAATAAAAATTAAGTAATAATAATAAAACACATCTGTTTCTACACTCGGGCAAAAAGGTGAGGAGAACATACTCAGTTGGTTCTGTTACAAAGAGATAACCTCAGCGACTGGAAGTAACAGTAACAAGGCTACATTATTTATCAATTATTATATTGCTTCCTTATTATCAAAACAGATGTACCTTGCTTCTCTCCTCAACATTCTTAATCCTCATGTCAGCTTCTGCTTTGATTTCCCTATCCTGTTTCTGTGCACCTTCAATCTGGGATCTTAATCCTGCCTCTATTTCCTGACTACGGCGCTCTGCTTCAAGTATCTTCTTCTC